GTGGGGGGTATAAAAATTACACAGTTCAGCTGTCACCATGAAAGAGTACTCAAATTTTTAATTCAAAAAAAGATCTGAGTTTCACTTTCATTCTCTCCTGTGGCACAGAGTTGTAAAAAGCTGAAGAGGTGTAACTATGCAGGTATTTCATCTGCATGCCACTGTTTGCTTTGCTCAGTCACACGTACACATATCTGTATTAACATCTGTATCTCTACAATAAATAAAGATGCAAATTATTTCACAGAATACTGCAAGAATTCTGGTCTTTGCAATTCAGACATTGGCAACAAATCTAAACAGCCATCATGCCATTATGAAGATTCTGAGCATTTATTAATTAATTTATTAATTATAGCTTTTTTTCAGGAGACAAATCTAAACAGCCATCATGCCATTATGAAGATTCTGAGCATATTCTTTTTATTAATTATAGCTTTTTTCAGGAAAAAAGGGAGCCAGTAAATTTGGAGATGAGTCCCTGAGTATCAAGAGACAGTAGAAATTGGACTCTATTGTCATGAGCACCACAGGGCTGGAAGTGTTTTATCTACACCTGAACTTCTGCTACTGTATTTCACAGAATGACAGAATGGTTTGGGTGGGAAGGGACCTTAAAGCCCATCCAGTGCCACGCCCTGCCATGGGTAAGGACAACTTCAACTATCCCAGGGTGCTCCAAGACCCATCCAGACTGGCCTTGGACATTTCAAGGGAGCCAGGGGCAGCCACAGCTTCTCTGCACAGCCTGTGCCAGGGCCTCCCCACCCTCACAGGGAAGAATTCCTTGCCAATATCCTATCTAACCCTGCCCTCTGGCTGTTTGTAGCCATTCCCCCTTGTCCTGGCACTCCAAGCACTCCAGCTATTTGTATTTTGTTAACACAAATAGTCCCTCTCCATTTTTTGTCTGCTCCCTTCAGGTACTGGAAGGCCACAATTAGATTGCCCCAGGCCTTCTCGTTTCCAGGCTGAACAACCTCGATTCTCTCAGCCTTTTATCCCTAGAAGTACTTTGTCAAGTCAAACAGAGCAGCAGCACATCTCTCACATTAGCTACACCAGCTTATTTTTTTTACACCAAGCCCACTGTTTCCTTCCCTGCCCACACCAAACGCACTCGGAGCCTCCCTGTATCTAAAATGCCACAAAGAAAATCTTGGTACTAACAGGCATCAGACAAGCTGCAAACACTCACAATGAATTCAAACTTCAAAGTGTAGGTGGAAAACCACAAATTGGAGCCTGCTGACCTTTCTGTGATTCATAAAGCAGCACAGCAGTGGTTCCCAACAGGCCAAATTCACTGCCCTGGAGCCTGAAGTGGTAACAGCAATTGCCATTTACAGAGTGAGTAACAGGGTGATTCTAAGGCACACTTAGTATGAATTTCTGTGCCTACTGAGCCTGTTTAGCTAAAGCTCATCTTTCTCACAGTAGGGACTCCTAAGTTTATTTCAACTCGATGGGAAAAGGAAGTTCCACCACAGGTACAGGCAACAGGTACCACCGAAACCAGTATGAGTTGGCAGATGGCTGGGGGTGGGAAGGGAAGCAGTGTTGAACTGGCTCCAAGCAGGTTCAAACTGTCACATAACACAAACACGTGAGTCATTTTGCAACCACCACTGTAATTCTATCTAAGACTGCCTCTTGGGAAACAGAAAGACACTTACATTCCAATACAGTCGAATCTAACAGGCTTTGACTGACAAATGTACATTAAATTATCAACTGATATTTTAAAAAAATGACTTATGTAAGAAGAGAAGCTGTAAGTGAGTGTTTCAAAACGTACTTTGAACACGTACTTTGTTGTTTCTGGCACACAGGAAACACTGCTTGTGATGGCACACACAGCATTCAGCAACAAACAAGATAAACATCCACAGAATTTACTGATTGCAGCTACAGGACTCACTGTCATATGATGCCATACCAAGTGCCAGAGTGTCCCGAATAAAACAGGGTCAAGTGTACTTCGTAAAATTCACGAGAAGGAACTATGTCGTACTCGGTGCTATCTACGAAACCATTGCGGGCTCATCTGTACAAAAACCACCTTGCCAGCACACACAGCACGGCCAACATCAGCACAATCTACCCCACGCCAGAGTTCAGCCAAGATATCAAGGGCACCAGCGGTGTTTACACAGCATTAAGCCAGAGTCTAATCCTGCTAGCACTGACCCAACAAATGGCCTGTCTTGAGAAAGACTTCGTGTCCCTATAGCAGAAGTTACACGGAGATTGTATCAACCACAGCTTGCTTAAGAAGGGGAGAGGTGAAACAGGTGGCTAAACAGGCATTAAAAAATATACACGTATTAAAAACAAAAGCACGAGTTAATCGCACAAGCGCTTAAGTCGTAGAATTCGGAAGTTTCAGAGGCGGCCGGCGAGCTCTTGCGGCCGGAGCCACCTTTGTCCCCGTTTCCGATGTGGAAGTGCTGGCCTTGTGTAGGGCAGGGACGGGACAGCGGCCGGGAGCGGGGCCCGGCCGGGTGCCAGCGGTTCCGTTATGCGGGAGGCGCTCCCGGCGGGCAGGGCTCGGCTTGGCTGGGCTCGGCAAGGCAAGGCAAGGCAAGGGACGGGACTGACGCGCCGCTCGCAGCCCGAGGCCCCGCTCCCCGTCCCGCCCCGGCACTCACGTCGAGAGCTTCCTGGTCCAGAAGAGCCCGCCGGGCCAGAGCTCCTGCAGCTGCACGGCGCGGGCCAGGTTGCCCTTGATGTGTTCCAGGAAGCGGGCGGCCTCTGCCTCCAGGCGCTCGCCATAGGGCAGCAGCTTGTTGTAGACGATCTCCTTCTGCGGCGGCCGGGCCATGTCGGCGCTGCCCTGGAGGGCCGGTGACCGCCGCCGCCGCCGCGCCCCGCCCGCCCCGCTCGGCTCTGCGCCGCTCACTTCCGGCGGAAGGCGGGCCCGGGGCGGCTCCGGGCTCTCCGCGGGCACGGGGCCGGGCAGGGGGCGCGGGGCCGGGGCGGTGCTTGGGGTGGGGACGGGCGGAAAGGCCACGGCGCCCGCCCGAGCTCAGGGTTCGCGCTCTGCGGCGTTGCGGTTGGGTGAAAAGCCTTTCCGCTGAAGCTGCCGCCACCTGGACGCGTAACTGGGAGTGAAAACATTCACCCGCCAGCTGCTCTCGGCGGGAGGGAATCGAGCTTTGGGTCTCGCTCAAAAACACTCGGGGAGAGGTGGGGATGGGGCGGGCGCTGGAGATAACGGGGCAGTGCCCGTCCCGTCCCTGGAGAGGTGCAGGGACGGACGGACACTCAGTGCCGCGGTGTGTCGGGCCATAGGCTGGACTCGGTGATCATCTCCGAGGTCTTTGCCAAACTAATTGGTTCGGTGGTGCTGTAATTAGCCCCGGAGTTGGATAGCAGATTGCGCGGCTGCCTAAGAGGCTTATTTGAAATAATAACGCTAGTCAGGAGCGCAGAGCTCGCCCGCGGGCCGTGGGTGTGGGATAAACTGCCGAGGGATATGTGATAACAGCACTGATAGCTGTTATCTCCAGCTGTCCTAATATAATTGAATTTCCCCTCAAGAGTTACATCGTGGCCATACAACAGCTGCAAACTGATTAGATTTAGAGCTACTGACAAGGGCAAATCCTGTTTTCTGATCTTTATGCTCAAACTAGCTCTGCTTAAAATTAAAATATATATATATATATATGGCTAACTAAATTCTGGAACATGATAGGGAGAGGAGAAATGCCACAGAAAACTCAAGTACAAGACAGGCAAAGGCATGATGGCATCTTCCTGAGGAGTGCATCATCTACTTTCTTCACCCTCCTAGACCTGTATTTTTAATACAGGAAGCACCAGGATTTTGTGTAGTGTCCCATCCTTCTGAAATGCCCTTCCATTCCTAGAAGAGTTTGTATCACATGATCTCGTGGATCACATCTATCAACTTTTGCATGATTACAAAATAGCTGGACTTCACTAAAATTGTTGCCATCTTTCACAGGGACTTGACACTTGTGTTGCCTCATAAACTGCACGAGGCAAAACAATTCATAGATGAATCTCTGCCCTTTCTGGCTTGAATTAAAAATGAAAACTTGATCTTGGTCAGCTTTCTGTGGGGATAAAGTATATATTAGTTTAGTATTTTTCTGGTGAAAACAGAAATAAACAATATGAAACGAATAGTTTTATCACCAATTCAGTCAAGGATAAATTGCCCCAAATGCTGTAATAAAAACCCAATATCTATAGTTAGTGAAAAGGGTAAGTGAAAATATGTGTGCATTGAAATTGAAAAGTCTAAAATAACTTATTTTCTGTCACTCAGAGGCAATTCTTGATAGTCACAATGGTGATTTGTTCAGACATTTCCAATGCGGGAAAGTGTTTGTCTCAAATTTGAAGCATGCAGTTTGTTTGGACTTGGAGAGGGAAAAAAATCAAAATTCTAGCCCAATTTTCAGAAATTGAAGTTGGCAGATATATCAGGAGTTTCCCAGCTGCGTACTGTTGCTTTGTAGCCATGTTATAAAAAATTACTCCTGCCCTTTCTAACCCAAGTTAAAACTAAGCCTTGATTTTTCAGGCTTTATTTTGGAATATTTGGCATGTGAATGAACACCTCTGACCTCAGGGAGCCTCTTCTGTCTGAGCCAACAAGCTGCCTTCTCAGCTGTGGCCTCAGACACATGAGTGCCTTCCACCAGGATTGAACACTCACTTTTTGGTGAAAAACATACCAGGTTACACCATCAGCACCTCTGACAGCCATCCTAATAACTCATCTGACCTCCTCCATTCCTGTTTTCAGAGGCTGAAAAAGGGGGAGAGGAGATTCCTGCTCCGTTCATAATTACAGCAGTAAGCACACCTGTAGTACTTGCTTTTTGAATGTATTTTCTGCATGTTGATTTATTTACTGATTACATTTGGTAATTATTGAGAAAACCTAATCCTTTCCCCTTCCTGCTATGCCGCCATTCTGCTCTTTAAAAAGAGAAAAAAAAAAAAGAGATACATTTTGCCAAGTGAGTCAAAAATAAATGTGTTGTTCAAGTTTGCAATATGTTTTGGCTGCAGCAGTGTGTGAGAGCACATTTGGTTCCCGAGTCAGATGATGAAGGACGAGGCTTTCATAACACAGGACCCGTCTGTGCCACTTCACATCAACAGCTTCTTCCTCTCCCATTAAGTAGGAGGAATATGAATTGCCAGCAACCCAAATATGGCAGCCACCTGTTGGTTTTGGCATTGCCTCCTGAGAGCTGATGGATCTGAGTGGAGTAGTTGTGAGAAAAACACAATCTTCCCATTCATGAGGAACTTTGAGTGCTGATGGTGGCATGGGTCACGCTGGGGGTTGTCCACGTGTTCCCTCATTGGGAGATGCCTGAGGGCAGCCAGCACCAGCACTGGCACTGGGATTTGGGAATCTTGTCATTCAGCCTTGCTTCCTACTGCCTCAGCTCTCCAGGGACTACTTAGCACAGATGTTTTCCTTAGTGACCCATCTGTCCTTTTCCACCCAAGTTAGATGATTTTTGAGTGACAGATTTCCATCCATTTTTCAGCACCTTCCAGTACCTGAAGGGAGCCTCCAAGAAAAATGGAGAGGGACATTTCACAAGCACCTGGAGTGACAGGACAAGAGGGGATGGCTTCAAACTGAAAGAGAATAGGTTTAGATGAGATATACAGAAGAAATTCTTCTCTGTGATTAGGGAAGCTGTGGCTGCTCCATCCCTGCAAGTGTCCAGGCTGGACAGGGCTTGGAGCAACCTGGGATGGGGAAAGGTGACCCTACCCATGGCAGGGGGTGGAACTGGATGGGCTTTAAGCTCCTTTCCAACCTAAACCACTCTATGACTTTACAATGTGGAAAAGAATAGCCAATCCAACAGGAGCTTCATGTCACCTGTATCATACCTGTCCTAGCCTATGACCCCCATATTTCATAAAGCACCACTACAGGAATAAAGAGGAATAGCTGCGTTCTGATGAGGATCCTCAGACTTTCCCTCAGCCCCGTGTTTCTAAACTGGTCAGTCATCCAAAGCTGGTGCTGAAAGGTGCCAAAGAGGCAACTCAGAAACATCCCTGTCACATAAACCTCTGTTTTACAGAGAATTTGTCTATTTGGGGGATGAGGGCAAGAGTAATTACAGCATCTGAATGAGGAACTTAAAGTTTCCTGTGTAGTATGGGACAAAAATAGGTTTTTCTAAAGTGTGATTCAGAGGAACTAATTTTAGGTCCCTAAAATAAGGCTGTCTAAATACTCCATGACATGTTTCAAGTTGGATGGGGAGGCGGGTTCAGTGTCACCTACAGCACATACGCTGAATATTGTTCTTTTTCTGCAATGCCTGTTTGGATCTGCTTGTTCTAATGTAAGTGGAACATTTCTGTTGAGCAGAAATAAGAGGCCCTTGTGAAGAGATTAAAGTGGGCACCTGTATAATTTTTAAAACATAGACAAGCCTGACCAAATAGATGCAGCATTGTTATCCTTCACTTTGCATTCCCAGTGGTTCTGTTTATGAGAGTTACATCCATCCTCAGTTATATCCACTCACAAGATATTGTTTGGCCTCTGCTCTTTTCCAGCTGAACTTAGTGGGTTACTGTGCTTACAATGTCTTTGTACAAGAACAGGACCTCAATTCTCCTTGGTGACATAAACTAATTCATAGCAAAAGTGTTTTTTCCTCTTCACTCCCTGGATTTGTTATCTTTTGGTGTCTTATTGCCTAAGATATGGAAAGCATAATTGCCCCAAATCCACAGCAGAGATTCTGCCTGTGACAAGCTATTTCCTCCACATGTCTGAAACTCCCAAAGATATCCCTGGAAACTATTATGCCTGCGGGGAGAAAAAGCAACAGACTTGAGCCTCTTTGTAAGAGGTTGTTTCCAAATTACTCACAGCTATTTGAAATAAATAATAATTCCTTGGACATGACAGAAATGCAGCCAACTTTGGGGAAAGAGATATTAGGGTTATTTTTCTGTTCCTCTTGAGCCATTGAAATGGATTTTTCTGTCTCACTCTCTTGCCAAACAGAAACCAGCCCCAGAGGAGCATGTGATGACACTGAACTCACAAAGGTCATTCCTAGGGATTCTGCTGTTCTAGGAAATCAAGAAAACACAGTCCCTTGGCAGCCTGCAGTCATTCACACAGAAACTGCTCATTTTGGACTTGGGAGTCTCATGCAGCTGCCCTGTGTTTGCCAGAGAGGATTGTGACACACCTTATCCCAAGTGCCTGGGTGGTGATCATATTTATTGTTTTTAAGTGGCAAGTGCATGTGTTGCAGCTTCTTCTGCAGTTCTCTGGTTTGTCTATTCCTTGTCAAGATGAAAAACTGGCGATGTATATTTTAAAAAAAATAGAAAGGTCTGCTTTCCCAACGCAGGATAAATCAAATAACAACCAGAAATCTTTGCTGAGGTTTTCAGTCTTGTTTCAAGCAGCATTCAGCACAAATAATTGTGTTTATCATGGCCATAGCTCAAGTAGTTGTTCAGGCTTTAATTCTGTGGGTGGATTGTGTTCACTGTTTGGACATGTGGATCAGAAAGTACTTAAATATTTATGAATTCTGGAGGAGAAGCAATCTCACTTAAATATTCCCTTAAGCAACCAATCCTTTCTGTCATCCTGAAGAATTATCTATCCTTTGCTTCTGGCTGAGTGGTTTTGTGCATGGAATCTGCATGACAGACTTTTTGGCACGTTTCTAAAGCAGCAGCTTCTCTCATGGAGTGTTAGGGAGACACCCAGCAGATTAACAAACCTTTGGGAGGATCACACAGCACAAACTCGGAGCTCTCTGGTGTTCATTTGGTCTAACCTGGCACGTTGTTTATGTCTATGCCTTGGTAATGTGGGGATAATAAATGTAATTATGTCAGGGGCATGATTATGGTAGTGCTGGGCCTACTGACTAACAGCAGGATTCAAGGAATTGTAAATTTGTTTTATTATTGTCCCAGGTATCCCGTTAAGAAGAGTTCAAGGTGAAACAATGACTGTAAATTAACATTTCCTTACAACCTTGGAAATATAACTGTCAGAAAGGTCATTTAGGATAGAAGGAATGTTCCATTTAAAGAGCACAGGAGGCCTGTAAATTCAGGGATATCCCAGGCAGAGGAAAAAAGTTGCTTTTGTCACATTTGTGTGTTGTTACTTTGAGGTCAAGCCCAGTGGAAAACTGAGCCTTGCTTAGTACAAAGGCAGCAGCTGCCCTTCTGCTGGGCAGAGCACTGAGAAGTGGGTGAAAGAACTCAGGGGGTTTAGAAAATTCAAGTGAGAAACAGAATCTGCCTCGAACAAAAAGAGCAGGAAAAAGACAGCTTGTAATCTCCAGAGAGGGCTCTGCAGGACAATCTGGTGGGCGTTCACTGTGGCTGTGATACCACTATCTACAACCCCCATGTGTTTTCTTTTTCAGTAGCCTTGCAATGGATGGATACAGAACCTGATTCATGCTTTCTTGGCTTTGCCAAATGCCTGCTCAAATCCTGTAGCCATGCTCTGAATTAATCTGCTTACCCAAAGGCATGGCTGGAAAAATGGTTGTCCTTGGAGATTCCAGCCCCCTTTGCCTGGGAAAGAGAGCCATCAGCATCTGGAGTGGTATTAGCAGGAGGCTTGACAGGCTCTGAAATTAGAAGAAACAGTGTCAGAATCACTTTGCTTACCCCTAAATACCCCCAGCAAATTAGCACCTCTGAAAAGCAGGGAGTTTTGAGATGGGAAGTCAGGAGCAAAGCGAATTTGGGGTGGTATCAGGGGTGCCAGAGGTGTTACCAAGTTCAGAGCACCCAAGAGCTGGATGTGCACAACACCTCTGCATCACAGCAGCTGCAGCAGTCTGAGTGCAGCCAGAGCCAGCCCTGCCAGCCAGGGCCAGCAGCCCAGGGCACCTGACCCAGTCCTGCACTGCACAGAGCAAGGGATGGCATCCACCAGCTCTCCAGGGGCTTTTCAGGGAGTGGCTGGTACCATCAGAGTTACATTGAAGAGTATCTCCTTCAGGTGCCCTCACTGTGATTTTTTTGAAGTTAGATAATCACTTAGGTAGTTTTGTCTTCTCACTAGATTCCCAGGCTCCATGCCTTTTTCTCTCTGCAAAGCTTTCAGTTTCTTTCAGCTGGCCTCAGTCTTTGCTGCGGAAATGTGCAAGAACATTTTCCTGTGACAAGACTAAAACTCAGAACTAAAGATTAAGAACTGGGCGTGCATCTTACTTCCCCCCTGCACACTCTCCATTTTCTTAGTTCAGACAGACATCCTGACTCACAGGCTATTTAGTTCTGTTTAATAGTGCTAAATGGGTTTTTCATCCCCTCATTCATCTGCTTTTTAAGCTCATTATGTTCTGGCCTCATGTTCTGCAGCAGTAATTTCTGATTCATGCACAGTGAAAAGTTGTTCCCTTTTGATTGTTGTTAACTTTTTATCTGGGAATTTTTTTAGTGCCCTGAGATTTCCTGTGTGAGAAATAACAAGGCCTCTTTGCCATCTATGATTATACAGACCTGTGTGGTCTATAAAAATTATGCTGATTCTTCCTTTTTCATCAGAACCACTAAAGTATCTGCTAGGTTGGATGGGGAAGCTGCCATCAAATTATAAAGATGGATGGAAAGTTTGGGACTGACAGCATCCCTCCTTTCAAATGCAAGAGACCATCTTTCTTCACCCAGGTGCTGACTTTCACCAAATTTGTCACAAGTAAATGTCTTTGAATCATACTTTTGATGAGAGCTGGCCACATGTTCAAACTTGGAGAATGAAATCCAGAAGTTATCCAATTCCACGTAGTGAAGCAGTAATCAATTCGGTGAGACTTCCTCTGATGGCACAGGCTGCACTAATACAGGGCAAGATTCTGAAATACTCACTATTTTCTCTTTGTTGTTTTGCGAAGAAATAAAGGTCTAATGCAATTAAGGAGAATGAATCAAATAGTTTCACAGAGCTGCAAAATGTAATGCTGTCAGCCCACCTCCCTGAGAAACCATTCCTTTAGCAACCCACGCTCTTTTGTGTGTTCTTAGATCTTCTGTAGAGCCCTGAATCCTCCCTGAATTTGACAGCATTGTTCTGCCAGCTGTGGGAAGGGTGATGCTTAAAATTTCCTATGTTTCAATGAGAATAAAAACTTACTGCCTTAAATGACCACATCTCCTCCTCCTCCTCAGCATGTGCAAGAGGAGAAAACATAACAGTAGAATCTCAATGTTTTCCTCAAATGTTAATGAGTTTGCTGTGAATGGATATTTCATAAATCAAACGTTGGATCAATCTGCTTTCCTATGAAAACAATTTAAATGTAGGTGTTATAGTAGGTGGGTTTGTGTTTGGATTTAGTCATCAAACCAAGCCTGACTTGACCTTTCATACCAGCAGACAACTGACAGACTTAACCCCAAATTCCACCTGATTCCTGTGCTTTGGTACTGAATAGTTTAACTTTATCCATCACATTTTTGTTTGAGATGGGTTTTTCTTTTGCCATAGGCACATCAGTTCATATACTCATGTTTTAATTCCCAACATCTTGTAGTTGAAAAGAACTTTGCAGTGGTGATGCAAGTTCCTGAGGCTGATTTCCTCATAGCAAGTATTTATATTAACCCAGTGGTTTAGTTTCTTATTGTAATTTCAGATTAAAACTTCACAACTACCAATTAAGAATGATTTACCTGAAAATTCTTTCTTTTTTTAAAATATATAATTTATCGTTTTTTTAAAATATTCTTTTAAAATACTTTTAAAAGCTTAATTTAGACAAAAAAAACTGAACTTTGTTCTCAAGTGGTTTTATTGGTGGGGGTTTAGAGGTTTATTGCCCAATTTAAAAAATAAAAGCTCCTTTCAGAGAAACAATCGACTGGTCTTCATGCCCTACAGAATCAGGCTATGACACAAAAATAAAACAAAAAATAACACGAAATCTAAACAATATAGTCTAGCCAGAGGAAAATAACTGGCTCACAATTTTGTATGTGTCACTTGTGTTACTTTGTTGCTTTATGTAAGCAGTCCGGGTTTTTGGAGCACGAGGGACAAATTTAGCTCCTGTCCACACAAAGTTTGGCTGCGCTCCTGAAATCTGATCTGTGTGGGTGTGACTCATACCCTGCAAGACTCTCCCCTTGCTCAGGGGCTGCTGCACAGGTCGGGGGTTCTTCCCACGTGGATCACGTCCCTGGATTTGGATCCTGGAGTATGAATTGATCAGGAGACAAGTGCTGTAATCAGGTCACATCCCTGTGCTATGGGCACGCTGGGGATCCAGCTGTAAAGTCATTAATCACTCAACCACCAGAATAAAGCTCTCGAAGGATCCCTCTTTGTGCCCCTCTTGCCCATTAGACTTCCAAATATAATCTGTAGTGCTAAAAGGAAGAAAGTTCCTGATAGCCACTAAAGAGGCAAAACTGGGAGATTAAGCCCTCCAAAAGGTTTCAGTATATTTAGATACTATGTAAATAAGGACTGCAAAAAAGACTCTGAAGAAGCTTGTACAGCTTTGAAGAAGAGATAGCAATCCCCTTAATTTTCATTCAGAAATGAAGAGTAAACGCAATTTAGGGAAAGAAAACATTCTATGGGAATGAGGACAAGAGGAAGAACAGTGAAAAAGGTTAGAAGTTTATAATTTTGCCTGAAGGAGAAAACATAAAGGAACAGAAGTGCATTACCTAAAAGGACAGAAAAATAAAATCTGATGTTCATTACCGTTTACAGAAAATAAGGAAAAAAATGTGGGAAAGGTCAAACTAAGCTTACATAGCTTCCAAGTTCTTCCCTGATATTGCATGCTCCCTAGGTAACAGCAATAACCTGGCAACAGAAGCACTATCTTTATAATTTATTTATCTGGAGGCTTTGGTGTCCTTTGGGAGACACTCATCAAAATCATCTGGGGACAGTTTGCAAGTGAATCAGGTCTAGAGTTTGGCTCAGATAAACAGAGCTGCACAGCTAAAGATACCACAAGAAACTTTTATGATTAGAAATAGCAGGGGAGAGACATGCAATCACAGCAGGTTTGAGGAGGAGCCAGGTTACCTAAAAATGGTGCAGAAAAACAGTGTAGTTACAAGGTGAAGGATGAATCAAGACAGCAAGGTGGGAGGTTAAGTGCCTGACAGGGTATCCATGTGAATGCCAAAGCAGCCATTTTGGGAGCGGGAAACATCAGGTGTGTGGGGTGGTGTGAGGTGACAGCCACACGCAGAGATAGCAGCAGTAGTGGCTAATGAAAGAACCAGCTGGTTTCACATCTATTCTGTGCCAGAGATGAGCAAACAGCATAAATAAGGAAGCTAACACTTTCCAATGACCGACCCAAAAGCTTAATAACTGAGATGCTTTAATCAAATTGCTTTTTACTGGTACTGGCCAGAGTCAAGGGCACCAACAGCTCTGGCCCTCCCAACCAGCCTCACCTGGCACACACCCAATATCCCTCTGCTCTTTGGTGCAGGAGCTCTACTTAAGCTGAGGGCTGAGCAGAACTCTTGCCTTTAAACCATGGTGTGTTCAGGTTTTATCTCTGTGTTGTAGCTGTGGCTTCCTGCTCCTGGAGGGACTCTGCTGCCCAGGTACTGTGGGGCTGTTGTCACTGATGTGCCAAGGTTGCTCCTTGCAAAGCCTTGTTTGTGCTGGTCCCTGGTGCTCAGCTGCAAGAACACTACTGTTGGGTTTTGGTGTTTTCCAGTAATAATAATTTTTACTATACCCTTTTTCATGCCATGGCTAAAACCCAGCGTTGTTGCAGAGTTTTACTGTGCTTGGAGTGAATACTGGGAGGCTTTTAAAGGCTTTATGCCCAGAGGAGGGGCAGAGGGTCTGGTGGTGAAATGTGGGATTGTTATTTTTACAACTGGCTGTAGCTTTGGGAAGTGCAGCCAACTGGTTCTCCTTAGGCCAATGCCACCACCCTGGAATAAACAGCTGGAAGTGGGAGGGAAATTCAGAACTCCTGCATTTTTTGGTAGTGTGTGCTAAAGCTCTCTTGCTAATTAATGTCAGTAATCATTGGTTTCTAATATGGATTAATTAGGCAGCAAAATATTAACTGTTTCACAGTACCACCTTCAGGAGTTTTCTACTACTTGTCAGGAAATAAGGAGAAAGTTGGACTTGTCTAAGGAAAGTGGGACAAGTTGTTATAACAAATGAAATGTCAAAGACTGTAGTGATAAAAAAGTGTTGCTGCCAGTGCTGGAATCTGCAGGTATCCAAGTGTCATCAGCACCAGGATAAGCTCTGCTTTCAGGCTTGTGTGGCTTTCTAGTGCAATAGACTCTACTATAAATCTACTCTTTTACTGGTCTTGTTCTTCACTGCTGCCAGATGGCAGCAAATTACAAAAGATTTTCTGTGTTCTGCTCCTCTTTCTGTGGAATCCTCTTCTTTCAAAACAAAATGGTGCTGATTCCACATTAGAAAAATGTACAGTCTCCAAAGATTTGATTTAATGTGCTATATAGGTAAAGCAAATGAAGTTTTGTCCATTACATGCCTATTCCCTGTCATACTGGAAGCTTTTTGTTTCTATGTGAATATTTGTGTTCTGTGCTGAATTCAGTGGTTGTTTCTTTCGTTAACTTGTGTATCTGGGAAAAATAATTTAGTTACTTTTCTAGGACTTTATTTTGAACCTCCCTGTAGTCTTAAGATCCAAACCTGTGAACAACTCAGGTTATGCTGTATTACTGTAGAACACAAGGTGCATGTGACTAGAAATTGCTTAATGGTGAGAGCAAATGAAAATATTTTCATTTTCATTGTACAGTTGCTGTTAATTTTTCTTTATCTCTTGGTGAGTGAGAGCAGAGCTCATCTTCTACGGCTGGATAAATGTTGTTTCTAATGTAGAATTTTGCCTGAAAAGTTTTGTTGGTTAAAAAAAAAAAAAGTGGGGGGAAAAGTTAACCTTCAAGCAGACATAGAACACACCAGAGAAAAACCTTTGTGGTGTGTTGCTGGAGAGTCAACCTACTAAATAATCAATTGCTGACTTCTTTTTTTTTTTTTTTTTTTTTTTTTTTTTTTTTTTTTTTTTTTTTTATCTGTAGCATACAGACAAAAAGAAATGTCATGATAACAGTTTTGGAAAGGTGTTGCAATGAGAACATAAGCACTACTAGATACCACTGAAAGCTGGGTGAATAGCTTGCATGGAATGAGCTTTCTTTCTCTGGGGTCTGCTGCTCCAGCTGAGGAGTCTGGCATTTGCCCAGCACAGCGGGGGACAGAAATGGGCTGTTCAAACTCCGGGTGAAGATTTTTAAGCCATGTGGAGATTGGAGATGTAAGCTGGTCACTCAGCCTCGTGCAGGGAGGAGTGCCCAAGACAAATTTGAGGGTTTTTTTCCCTCATGCTTTAGTTTTCAACTATCTAATTTTCCACCTTATCAGGCAAAATTACCTCAGTTTAGCAATGTACGGGAGACACTTTGTTTTCAATGATTCCTGTAAATGCCCGGGAAAGACTAATGCCGCTCACCTGTGCTGCGGAGGCTGGAGAGTCCAGGTGTGTGTGTGCCAGCACCAGTCCTGGAGGAGGAGACGGTGCCCTTCGGACACTGCTCTCTGAACACATTTCTAATCTGAAACAGAGACGGGAATGACCTCTTGTGAGGGCTCTGTAGGAGCCCTTTAGGGACGTGGGGCCGCGTCCCTCACGGCGGGAGCGCCTTCCCGCCCTCGGGATCATGGGGCGCTCTCCCCTCACAGACGCAGCGATGTTTTCCCTCACAGGGAGAGCTGTGCCACCCCTCGCTGTCAGGTATTTTCCCTCACAGGAGCAGCGATGTTTTCCCTTACAGGGAGAGCTGTGTCAGCCCTCGCTGTCAGGTATTTTCCCTCACAGGAGCAGCGATGTTTCCCCTCACAGGAGGAGCGATGTTTCCGCCCGCCGTTGTCGCCCGTTCGCTCCTCACACTCGGGGCTCTCTTCGGGGTGCCGTGGCCCGCCCCATTTGCACGGGAGGCGGCCGCTTGCGCGGTAAGCTTGAGCCTCTCGCGCTCCCGTCCGGGCGCCGCTGGTTCGCGGAGCACCGGCGGCCGCCACAGCAGCTCTTCCTTCGCTGCTGCCATGTCCGCCCCGGCCAAAGCCGCCGGCGCACTGAAATCCGTGGATTACGAAGTGTTCGGGCGCGTGCAAGGTAATGGCGGGCTGAGGGGGGCGACCGGGCGAGGGGCGCCGCGCTGAGGCAGCGGCGGCGCCACCGCGCGTGCGCGGGGTGGGAGCGGCCTGAGGGGAGGCGGGAGCCGGCGCCGCGTACCCGGCCGGACCGGGAAGTTTTTTGGTCGCGTGGTTGGTTTGTTTGTTTGTTTTTAAAATTTAAGTCGTTGTAAATATTCCCCCGCCCTAAGGCTCGGCTCCCCCTGGATCACAGGCTGCTCTGTCCAAAGTAGTTCCCATTCCGCGCACTTGCGCTCGCGGCTTCTGTCAGCGCGGGTGTGTGGAAATGCCCCGCCCGCCCTTCCCATTCACACACCGCGGCGTTTTCACTTAAATACACTTATTATTTCACTTAAATACATAAATGTGTGAATATAATAATCATGTGACGTAGGGAAGGCTCAAAAGTCCTGTTCGGTTTCCCTAATATTAACGTCACTGAAATTTCTGTGGTAAAACACCACGGGTGACTTGTGTGCACATCATTGCTCCTTTATATTAACTGAAATTCCTACAGGTGGTATGCTTTCACAGGACTTAAATTTATTTTTCTTTTTTTTTTTTTTTTTAGGTGTTTGTTTCAGGATGGTAAGGCAATGCTGGATTTGCTAGCTGCTTTATGGTATAATGTTTCCAGTGCTAAAAATAAGGGTCTGTGGAGTGTAAATATATCCAGCCTGAACTTTGGTTGGATGGTTAAGTACTCTGAGTAGACTTTAAATGGTTTTATATTAAAATGGATTTTTAGTAGCTTAATTAATGTATTGCTTGTGTAGATTGTGGTTTGCATTAATTGTGATGTAACAGCCACAAGAATGTCATAACACCTTAATCTTTAGAAAGGTTAAATATGAAACAAGGTGTTTCAGTTTAATTTTTCAAGTGGCAACTCAGTGCCTGTATTTAAGGAAGGTTACTGTGGAAAAAAATGTGCTGCAAAAAAGCACTTTGTGGCTCATACCCTGTGCAAATGACTCCAGCAGCTCTGAAGTGCAGCGGGTGGTTTTGCATTTCACAGAAACCCACGAAACAAGAGGACACAATTAAAGTAAGAATAGTGGTTTTGTCTCAAAGCACTGCCCCATGCTTAATATTAAACCTGATTGATTTTATGTATAGTGTATATGTATTGTGAAATAGTGCCAAGGGGAAAGGAACAGAGGACTGCAGTGGAGTTTGCCTCGAATTTAGTTATTCTATCAGGATTAAAGGGTAAGTCCAAGCTTGCTGTGCCTTATTTTGATCTGACCTGGAGCTGTGTGAACACACAGCTCAATGCCAGTCCTGAGCTGCTCTGCAGTACTGAGGAAAAGGTTTGCTGCTGCATTCCTGTGCTTTTGGGCAAATTATTTGGGAGAAGCTGCTCATAGTCACCTTGGAATACACTCTTCACAGTTAGCACCATTTTTTCATTGTCTACATCACCCCAAGGCACCTTTTATCTTTTGGAATGGGCCATACAGACCTGATGTTTGGCTCTTGCTATTTGTGAATTTCGTCACAAGTGGATGGCTGGGAAACCATAATTTTTAGGTGTTGCAGAAATATGCTTGTTTTTTTCTAGCTATTAGATTATGGCCTTTGCTGTTGTCAGTAGAAATGCAGCAGCTGGGGGTAGGATTTAAAGGGTGAAAGTTGGGTGGAAAGGATTTGAAAGGGAACTGGGAAGTTTTTACATTTAGCAGATTTAAAGAGTTTACAAACTGTGCTGATTGAAGGGTTAAATGAGCAGTGATAGGAGCTGTGGAAAGGAATAAAGTAGGTACAAGGGAAATGGTATGGGATTAGTGGAGTCCTCTGTGGTGAAAAAATTGTTCTTTTTGGAAAATGAGCTGTGCCTGCTGCAACTCCAGAGCTGCCAGGAATATTTGAATGCCTGAGGATGAGCATCACTCATGGATTTTTATTTTTTAAGTGTAGCTCTCACAGCTGGGCAAATGCAAGTGGGGGGTTAAGAGTTCTGTCTGTGGTGTCTGTGCTGGCACTGACTGTCCTCTTTCATTATTTCCCAAATCAGTACACAGAACAGGAAGCCAAGAAATTAGGAGTGGTTGGCTGGGTTAAAAATACCAGCCAAGGAACCGTGACAGGCCAAGTTCAGGGCCCAGAGGAGAAAGTGAATGAAATGTAAGTATTTCTGTGTTAGGTTTTTTTCTTACTGTCATTAAAGTAATTTACAAAGTGTTTTTAATGTGTCAGTAATGTAACAGTGTTTTCATTCAGCTTTGGAGGTAAGGAGGTGCATTCTTTGAGCTGTGAACAATCTTTAACTTGAAAAATACTGTTTTCATTTCTAGTGTCACACAGTTTGTTAATGTATTTCCATAACATCCTCACTTCTTGTGAAATGAAAAGAAAGTCTTTATTCGTGTGACTAAAGATCTGTTTTTTAATTCACCAAAAGTTCTCTTGTTAAGAAAAAAAATAAAATTGAAGGACTTCTCAATACTTTCTCAGTCTGTGCTTAAAAAAACAGTTTAAAGGATACTGGGTTTAAATATGATTTTTTTTCTGATTTAAAAAAAAAACCCAATACATAAATACACATTTTAGCCAAGGCCTGCAGTCTCTGCCATTTGGAAATGAGTTTTGAAGTATTTTGGTGTCTTTTAAAGAATGGGTAATAATTTTCATTACGGGATTGCCAGTTTCCAGGAGCTTAAAGCTATCACTGAGGAAATGATGCCTGGAAAAACACAAAGCCTGATTGAGTTACTTCCAACTATCATTTTTTTTCAACTGTGTACAGGGAGATTGTTGGGAACTTCAAAAAATCCTTCAGGGGTTTGTTCTCTCAACAAAGAATGAGTGAGGGCAGAGCTTTCCTTTTCTAGATGGGAAATGAGCAGTGCACATTCTGCCAACACTTTCCCATACAGGAACTGCTTCAAAACTGAACTTGGATGCAGAGAGGTTGGCTTTGTGCACGCAGAAGTGTTGCACATTCTAGTCAGGAGACTTAAATAATTTCCAGTCATTTTCCTTGGTTTTGTGCTTAACGTGAGGTTCTTATCTTGGGCTGCAAAACATTTACAAAGCCAGAGAAATACCACGGTTTTTCTTATATCAAGTTTGCACTTTTTAAAAGAGTTTAATATTCAGAGCTCTTCATGTTTTGTAAATTTCAGTGTTGGTGACACATTTTTATTTAACTTGGAACATGAAACTGACCACATAAGAAACCAGGGTTTGTTTACTGTTTTTTGTCCTACTTTTTTTGTTTAAAAACACAGATCCAGAAGAAATAAAAAGTTGTTTTCAGTTGCTTCTCCTTTATTTCATGTTGGAAATCAAAGTGTTCCCCTGACATGAGAATAACGTGGCAATGTGAAGTCCAAGTGTGGTTTTTGATGCATGGATTATTAAATTTGGGGTCCTGGAGTAAAATTCTGAAATAGGAAGCATTTTCCTTGTGCCCTCTGTGCTCTCCAATGTATGGAAAAGGCAGTGAGTTTATTTTTGTCATTAACTTGGTGAGGTTGCGTGTGAAAAGGGAACTCTTGTGTACAAACTGCTCCTTTGAAAGACCTTTATTTCTCTCTGCTGGTACTAGTGAATCATGGATCAAAATGGTCTTGAGCTTCTGAAAGGTTTTTTTTCAGCATTTTTTAATAATGCTATGGATCCATGACACTGTGTTCTCAGATTTAAGTGTTATTTAAAAACCAAAACAACAAAAGGAGGATTGCTTCTGCAGTGGGAAATGGATACAAACCAGTAACCTTAAACATATATTTGTATTCCAAATGTGATAAATCACCAGGAAAAAATTCCATTACCAGCTGCCTATGCATGTTCTAGTTTGTATTTTAGCTTTCAGGACATAAAGACACTTTGATGACACTTGTTAAAAATTTGTAGCTCCTGTATGGTCAAGGAAGCCAAACACTCTGCAGAGGAAGAAATGCATGTGTCAGTAGTCAGATATTTCAAGAAAGCTTCCTGGTGATGTTTGTTACCCTGTGGGAGTCTTTCCAGAGCAGTTTGTGCAGTGTCATTTAGACCAGTATTTTCACACTTGCCCCAGCTTTGCAATTTAACATCAAGCACAGAACAGATTAAAAATCACATGGTGATGGTGAAATTTGTCGTTAGTTGTTTTGCTGGTTCTGGGTTTTTAATGTTAATGTACTTCAGGGGGAAGTAGTAAAGGTGTTTTGGTCTGTCCTAAACAATATTTATCTTTTTATGATGCTAAATAGAGTCAAGAACATGGACTAAAAGGAGTAGGGATGCCATTGGAAAGTACAGGTGTCCTACAGGTAAATAGGCAAAGCAGTGTAAGAGGGAGAAAGGGATTGAGAGGATGATAAGGGGAGGGAAAGTGTAAAAAAGGGAAAAGCCCATGAGGCTCTCCAGTGTTGCCAGAAGCATGGAGTGACTCACAAATCCTGCCTTTGTTCTGGAGCAGGAATGCAGCAGATCTCTAACTCAATGGTTTTCCAGCAGCTCCCCATTTTCTGCCCCTTTTAATTCTATTTTTGTATCAGTTATCATATTGGGAGGCACAGCCACAATGTATCCAGTGCATGCTCAACCTCAAGAAGCATTGGCTTTGTGTAATTTGTTTTTATGTGCAGGTTG